ATAAGACGGTCCTTGAAACCCTGGTGTCCCTGGGCCGCACCCTCCGCCAGCCCCAAGCCCTGCGGGTCAGGCTGCTGCGCTTCCTGCGTCCTGCCCCCTCCCCCCCATCCTGGCCCAGGCACCACTGTTTCCACCACAGCTTGCTCTGGCCTCCAGGCCTCAGCATTGAGACCTTGACAGAGCACAAATCTGGCATCTCTCTTTTGCAGAACCCCGTGGAGGCTCCCTGTGGCCCTAACAAGGTCAACCCCCTCACAGAGTCAAGAGCCCGGGCTCTGACCTCAGACCACCTGGGTTCAAATCCTCACTTACCTACTAATTGCCTGCCAAGAGATCTTAGCACTCCACCTCTCTGTGCCTCAGTTTCTGCACCTGTAAGATGGGGGTGGTTAATACTCACCCCCTTATAGCATTATTATAATGCTTGGAATGAGCAGGAGCGGTGACTGCATGTGCAAATGCTGGAGGCCATTAGCTATTACTGGTGGTCTATTGTTGCCTTTGTGGCCTGAGGGCCCCTGTGACCAGGCCCTCTTCTGCCTTTGAGCCTCACCTCCCCAGTGTGCCCTAGACCTCAACAGTGATGTAGGCTGACCCGGTCTCATGCATGCCTCTAAGCCTTTGCATATCCTTATTGTCTTCCCAGGCAAACTCTTACTCATCCTCTAAGGCCCAGCCCAAATGTCCCATCCTGTTCACTTGCATGCCTCATGTGCCTTCCCCTTTACAGTACTGATGATGGTAATAATTTCAAATGTTTATCGAGTGTCCCATGTGCCAGGCACTGCCAATGTGTTAACTAGAATCCCCACAGCAACCCAGTGAGAAACGAAGGCCCAGAGAGGTTAAGCAACTTCCCTGGGGTTACAAAGCAGTCAATGGCAGGGCATGCCTGAGCCATCAATGTGTCATCCCAGAGGTGAGTGTGGCCCTCTGCCCTGAAGGGAGGCTCCTGGCCTCTTCCTTGTTGGTGCCCTGACTGGCAGCCTCTGTTTCAGGTATGGCTCCTATATAATCTGGAAAGAGCTGGGGGGCTTCTCGGAGGAGGCCGTGGTTCCCCTGGGCCTCTACACTGGACAGCTGGCTCTGAACTGGGCGTGGCCTCCCCTCTTCTTTGGCGCTCGACAAATGGGTTGGGTAAGTGTGGCCTTGGCTTGTTTCCCTGGTCCCTGGAGGCGGCCCCTCCTTGGGGGAAATGGGGCATCACGTCCCAGACAGGGTCAGGGTCTAAAGGTGGGGGCAGGGGAGGCTCATGGTCAGCGTCTCCTCAGTAGCTCTTAGGGGACCAGTGCCCCTCAGTTGCTTTTCCTCCAATGAAGGTAGCCTTGTGGGGCTCTGACTGAAACCACATGGGGGTGGGGGAGAGCAGAGCTCAGTGGCAGAGCACATGCTTAACATGCATGAGGTCCTGGGTTCAATCCCTAGCACCGCCGTTAAAAAAAAAACTAGATAGGGTCACTGGCTTGGGTTTAGGGGCCACTTGTATAGGAAACTTGCACACCTGGTGCTGTGTGCCCCCACCCATGGCATGGTCAGGCAAGGGTGATTGTTACCCCTTACCTACCATCTCAGTTCCTCAGGTGAGGAAACTGAGGCACAGTGTGGGGGAGGGGCTTGACCGGGTCACTTAGAGGTGGAATGGGGTGCTCTCTCCAGTGTAGTGATGGTGGGCAGCTGGGACACAGCCCGTGGGCACACTGAGCCTCAGGCCTCTCTGTCCTCCCTCCCCTGTCTCCGCAGGCCCTGGTAGACCTCCTGCTGACGGGCGGGGTGGCAGCAGCCACAGCCGTGGCCTGGCACCGGGTGAGCCCATCAGCCGCCTGCCTGCTCTACCCGTACCTGGCCTGGCTGGCCTTTGCGGCCACGCTCAACTACTGCGTGTGGCGGGACAACCAGGGCCGGCGCCGTGGCCGGCGGCTCTCTGAGTGAGGGTGCCCACCCTCCGAGGACTGCAGTATGTCCAGGGGTGGTGGCCTTCAGGCTTGTACGGCCAGCAGGCTGCCTGTCTGTCTGGTCTCAGCCCAGAGGATCACCGGCAGTTTCAGAGGTGCCCCCGGCTGAGCCCCCACTCTAGAAACACCTCCACCCCCTGCTTGAAGCCCGTGCTTGGAATGTGTTTTACAAGCCAGATAAAGGTTTTAACCTCTTGGCTGTGGCCTTTTTACTTGGGAGGGACCCCGGATGTGGGGAGGACGTGGGGCTCGTCCTCCCGCTGGATCTGTATGGACTGTGTCATCCAGATGAGGCTGGCCCCGACAGGGCTTCCCCACAATTCTCGGGACCTTCCTCAGACCCTACAAGAGGAGAGGTGGCTGCCCAGGCCAGAGCAGCGGACTCTGGCGTAGACCAGGCTACAGCCTCGCGCTTCCACTGAGGCAGGAGCCCACCCACCTCCTTCCCATCCAGGAAGCTCAGCCCAGGCTCTTGAAGGGCGCAGGCCCACAGTCTGCCTGGTCCAATGCCTGGCTCTGCCGGGCCCCCAGCATGGTCCTCAGCTGACCTGGGCCCTGAGCTGGGCACACCAACCAACATGTCCCTTGGGGCCGGGACTCAGGCCAGCCTCACCAGGGGCAGCCCCATTCATATGCCCCAGCTCAGCAGCTAGCAGCCTCTTGCTGGCCCAGGCACGCCCAGGTTTGATGTCACCCCGATTTTGAATTGGGTGACCCCGGCCTCTCTAAGCAGCTGTTTGGAGTGGGGTTGAGGCCACCACTGAGTGACTCCTCCCGCTGTAATTTCCTACACCCCGTGCCACACTCGGCGGCACAGACTCCTAGGACCAGTGTGGGTCCAAGCTGCTGGGCTTTTTGCTGCTTGTCTGTTTTGGTTGTTGAGTAAGTTAATTCAAATTGGCAAATTCTTTGTATTTAGAGCTCACGCTCATTTTGGCAGGCTGGGTTTTGCTGTTTCTCGCTCTCACCTTGCCCCCTCTGCGTTCAGACACGACCTAACAGTATGAGGTGTTTGGGGAGAAGGTTGGCAAACGGCTGACTGCGTTCTCTGAGAGCAGGGGCAGCTCTTTCAGTGGCTGTCCCCCACCAACCCCGGTGGAATTTCATGCCCCACAGAGTATGCTCCGCAGGAGTCCAGCCACTTTGCAGCCACGAGCACTGAGCTGAGCCCTCGCTCAGCTCCCCAGCTTTTCTGATGCTCATCTGAGCAGATGGGGGACCCTGTACATCCTTGCCATTGATTTATTCCTAAAGTTCTCCCAGCCAGCCAGGGGTGCACCTTGACTTAGCATGTAAATTTACCTGAGACTTCTGGACTCTTCTCAGTGGCATTCAGACTTCTTTGTCATTTCCACACACTCATGGGTTTGTTCACCTCAGGCAACATCCCACTGGCCACAAAACCATGCACGGCCACAAAGACACCTGGGAAAATGAGTGGCAGGAGGGTGCACTTTGCCATTTTCTTTGCTCCTTTCTTGCAGTGCTCTCCTGCTTCCTCATAATTAGATGGCATTTCTGAGCTGTTGCCATCCACGAGGGACTCCAGAAAATCACTGTGTTGGTCTAATAGGAAAATCCACAGCTCGCAGATTTAGCAAGTCCTCCTGGTCTGCTTCTTTGCTGGAGCTGCTTCCCGCAGTTGAGATCTTAAATCTGTCTGTCTCCCTCTCCATCTGACTAGTCCTGAAGGATGCAAACAGGCATTCAGTGGCCCAGGAGGGCTCAGCTGGCGACCAGCCAGCTGGGAAGCAGCAGTGACTCAGTTTGCCTGGCATTTTGATGTTGTGGTTGACACTCTGGATGCTACAAGATGAAGCCCTGCCCCTCCTGTACCAAGTTCTGTCATGTACACGCCTCTCCATGAAAGAGCTGCCACGTTTGGACACATTTATGTGGCCACAGACCATCACCGAGAGCGTTTTCTAGGTTTCACTATCAGTATCTCAAGGTTCACCTTTTGGGTTTCTTCTGTGTTGCCCTGTTGTAACTCTGGCACAATTATTCCTGCTCCTGAGACCCTCGATCAACCCCAAATGTCTGACACTTACAGAATCTGGCTTTGATGAGTTCTTAACACAGAGAAAGTGACTTGGGTGAAGATGGTTACCAGAAAGAACTATTTAGAGGGCTAAGGACCACATCCCCTGCAGTGAGTCTTCCTGGACGGTGGAGGCCCTGCTTGACGGCCTCCCATGGTGGGTGTCTGACGTCACCGATCAGAGGTGCAAGGACATGAGAATTGGGGGAAAAGCATGTTTATAATTAAGGCAAGCCTTCATTGCATGGTCCTCTGATCCCAACAACTGGGCCGAGTCCACTGGGATTGTTCTGGGCAACCAGGTTCTAAGTGATTTGGGACCGAGTGGAAGCAGCACCAGCCCTGAGGCAGCTGAACCACCTGGTACGGGTGCCCGTCCTGAGGGGCACAGGAAGGACCTGGCCTGGGGGTGGCGGGGTGAGGGGGTCTCTGCATCCCTCGTGTTTTAACATCCAAACCACCAGGGGGCATCACTGCTAGCTGACGGGGCCCACACCTACTCTGGTTGCCTTGCGAGCACTTAGGGGCTCCTATCCGAGTGTTTACCCTCAAATTCATATGCTGAAACCCTAACACCCCAGTGTAATGGTGTTAGTTGGTGGGGCATCTGGTAGGTGATTAGATCATGAGAGTGGGGCCCCCATGCATGGGATTAGGGCCCTTTTTAAAGGCCCCAGAAGCCACATGAGGACACAGCAAGATGGCTAACTGTGACCCAGGAAGAGACCTTCACTGCCCACCTCAGGCCGCTTGATCTTAAAGGGACATCCCAGCCTCCAGAATAATGGGAAAAGATTTCTGTTTAAACTACCACATTTATAACATTTCATTACAGCAGCCCTAACAGACTAAGACAGAGACCTGGAGACCTAAACATCACCTCGCTGCTTCTGTCTCTCAAAGCGCACATCTTGATGTTTTGGTTTTCCTCCACAACCAGCAAGAACAGCTGACACACCATCAAGGCCTGTGGTTCCAAGGCCTCCAAAAAGAAAGGGAGGCAAAAGGACAGAAGACTTCCTTTATTGCGGTACAAATCAGGTCAGGGAGGGGACGGGACGCAGCAGCTCTCCGGGGACAAAGCCAGAGATGAGGTGTCCCGCCCTTTCCACCTCTACTTGGCTGGAGGGAAGGGGTGCTATCCCAGGACACAGGCTGACCTTCTGGTTAACAGAGAGGATGGACAGACACACCCAGACAGACACAGAGATGGGAGGCACGATCAAGTCCAATTTTGCTACAGGGATCACTCTTGGCTTCAGAATGAAACAAGCAGACACACACACACACACACACGAAAGCTCTGCAGGCATGAAAATCAGACTTGCCCCCTGTGCCTTTAGCTTGACCCGAGTGCACGGTGGCTACACAAAATATACTGGAAACTGACTCAAAATTTCAGAAACAAGATTAAGGAAAAGAATGAGAATTTTAAATTTTCTCCCCATGAATGAAAAAGTAACAAAAATCCCACATTTTGACTCTAGACTGGTGGAAGATGACATCTGACTTCAACGTAAAGCTCTCCTTGGAATTGTCTCTTGGCCATCCACTGCCTGGTACTCTGCGGCCCCCTCCTGTCCCCGAGTCCCCTCACCAGTATCCTGGGCAGGCAGGCGCTGGCACCACATTTGGTCCCTTGCACAGGACCAAGTGGAAAGGCAACAGTAACCAAAGGCAGTGGCCATCCTGCCCTGGAGCCTGAAGGGAGGTTTGCTGGTGAAGGTTTGACTCACAGGGGCAAGAAGGCTGGGCCTTAGAAGCAGGCTCCCAGGGTGTTCTGGGGACGCCTGTCACTCAGGGCCTGGGGTGGAGCATGGGAGGCAGACACGAGACGCAGCCAGTCTGGGTCTGTCAATGTCTGGGCTCCCAGTGGCGCTCCTGGGGAACCTTGCCTGACATGCTCCCCAGAACCCCTCTTCGCTTACACTCTCTGGGAGCACAGCACCCCAGGAACCAAACTTTCCGGAAGAAAGCCTGTGTCTGAGCTGAGACCAATCAACTGCACAGTGGTGAGGGGAGTGTGGGCGGGGCTTGGTGCTCGGCCCTGGGGGCACTGTGATGGGCCCTGCTCCTGACCGCTGCGGAGAGGGGGACCCGAGCCCACAGTGTGAGGCCAGGACGATGGCTCGCAGGGCGGAGGGAGAGGAGCAGCAGGGACTTTGCAGAAGCAGCTCAGAGAACCGAGGCTGGAATCCTCCTGCGAGCACTGGCAGAGGGGCCAGCAAGCACCTAGATGAGGCGGGTGACGGGGCAGCTGCCGGGCTCGTCCAGGAACAAGGTGCTGAAGATGTCATTGAAGAAGGTCGGGTGGTACCTGCAGGCCCGCTCACAGTCCGGGTTGAAATTCACCTCTAGGATCTGCGGCTGCATCACTCGCTTCCCTGGTGGCACAAAAGCACAGAGCATCTCACTCTTGGGAGGGCAGCCCTGGGGGCCTGTGGCCCCAGTCACCCAGCAGTGGGCCCAGGCCAGGGTCTGGAACTTGGGTCTCCTGGCTCCCCGGGGGCCTGGTCTTAAGCCTGCTCTTCTAGGGGAAAGACTGGAGCTGTCTCTGACCCCAGGAGTATTATGAGCCACCACCAGCCCCAGTGTGAGGTTTGGTCAGCCCCCAGGGACTCTGGCACAAGGGGCCTGGTGAGGGCTACTGCCCGCTCGGCCTTCCACACAGGGCTCCTTCCTCGTGGGCGCTCCTGACACCACTGCTGCCCACTCGCCTTTTCCGGGTGCGCTCTGCCCTGCAGGCCGTGGCCCCTTAAGGTGGGCCTCCCCGGACCCAGATCTCCTGGCTAATTCAAGGCAAAGGACAACCTGGGCAGTGCTGCCCAGGGCGAGGGAGTGGCGATGCCCTCTCTCGTCCCTGGGGGGGCTGGTACGGGAGGGCTGGATGATCAGCTTTGTGTAAGTGGAGGGGACAGTTTGGATTATGGGCGGGGGGCCCTCTCACCATCTGGACGGCTGTCCCATTTCAGCATGAGGTCGACAGCATACACTGCCCTGGATGAGGGGTAGTCGCAGAGACCCAGTGGGGGCGGCTTGGCACACGCCACCTGGAATAGCTCCGTGAAGGCCTGGAAGATTTCAGCCTGGGGACCGGGGGAGGCAGGGTCAGGGGGCCTGCGTGGCTGACGTTGGGACCAGCCCCTCAATATGGGGTTCACTGCCCCATCCTGAGCCCTGGGCCCCAAGTGGCCAGGTCACCACATCCTACATCCTTAGAACTGGCCACAGCCACCTCTATCCGACGCCTGCTTGCCTCACCCCTGGAGTCCACCTACTGCAGACCTGCCCGTGTCTCCTGCCTCAGAGCCCCCAGCGGCGCAGCACTGCACCTGAAACACTCAGGACACGGAGGCCAGCCTGCATTTCAGATGCATCCCTGTGTCCCCTCAGGTGTGCAACTCCCGGGCAGGGCCCTTCTCTGTCTGGTTGTCCTAAGGGTGCCCTGAATGCCCCTCTAGGCTATGTTCTAGGAACCCTCACCACACCCCATCTGGGCCAGAGGGGAGGAGGGGGTCTCAGCCCATACCCGCCCGATGCCCCTTCCCCCAGAGGGAAGCCCCGGCCCCTCCGGCTTGGCTAGGACTCACCTGGACGCTCTTCCAGGGAAATTCTGGGTACTGCTTCTCAAATTCAGGGATGAACTCATCGTAGTGCAACTGCAACAGACAAACATCCCGTCGCACTCTGCCTGGGGCCTCCTCTGGGCAGGGAGGAGGGCAGCCCGGCCTGACCTGCCTTGATGTGGAACCTCTGACATTTGCTGGGGCACAGGTCAGCACCAGCAGCCTCTCTGGCCCCACCTCTGCAGGGCACAAATGGGAGGCAGGAGTCTGGGTCTGAGCTCTGGATCCCTCAGTGACTAGCTGTCCCACTTCAGCACATTACTTCTCAGAGCCTCAGTGTCTTCAGCTGTAAAATGGGATAATACTCCCAGCCTAGCAAACCTACTCTGCATGGCTGCTGTGAGGCTCAAGTGAGGCACTGAACGTTGCAAAGCCAGGGCCAACGTGTCATCATGTCCTTCTCAGGACAGTGCACTGGAGGCAGAGCTTGGACCCCAGACTGCAGGGCCCAGGTCTGAGCCTGCCACTCAGCTCCAGCTCGAAGTCCCTGTGCAAGCAAGATCGTCTCAGGCCAAAACTTCACCCAACCACACCCGAGCAGGCTGGCCGTTGGCTCAGGTTTCTCCCAGTAAGGGCCAGATCCGGCTCCCTATGGAAGCCCAGCACAGCATTCCCACCCCACTGGACATGCGTCCGCACACGCGGGGGCTGCAAAGGAAATGTGACCCTCGGGATTCACCTGCTATACAGAGGGAAGGCATTTAGATCCCTCAGAGACGATCTCAATATCCCTGGGCCCCGGGCCCCAGGGACCTGCCTTCAGCACAGCCCAAGACAGAGCGGGGACAAGCAGCAGCAGCCCTGCCGGGCGTGCCTGTGTCCTGGCCACCTGGGCGGTGCAGCGCCCCCCAGAAGACTTCTCACACAGCACAGGGAGGCTCTGAGTGGTCCGTGCAGTACACCTACGGACACTGAGAAACCAGAAACGGCCTGCGCTACCCTTACCAAGGTGACGCATCTACAAACGTGATACTCAGTGAAGAACTAAGCCGCTGAAGGGTTTGTTCTGTAGGATGCTGTTACTCAAAACCTAAAAAACTCAGAATAGTTTGAACTATTTAGGGATGTCCTTGTGCTGAAAAGAATCATAAAGTGCCTGGAAGGAAATCACCACATTCAGGAGCTGCCACCTCGACGGAGGTGGGAACAAGAAAGCCACCTGCAGGCTGTGAGGAGCAGGGTGGCAAGCGCGGGTGTGCCTGCATCCTGTCTGCCCAGCACAGCAATGAACCAACTGCAGGGTGGAGAGGACTTCCGGGACAGCACGTCAGGGGACCTATTTCTCCTTTCTTCCTTCCTCCTCCCAGAGCCGGCCTCTGCCTCTGCCCAGTCTGCGCCTACCCTACCTGTCCCAGGTGCACTGCTGGCCAGCCGGGCTTTGACACCCTCACGCTAAATGAGCTTTGCCCTGATGCCCCTTTGCTCGAGGTGCCCAGATAGCATAGGGAAGACGAGGAACCAGGGTCCAGGCAGGTCACAGCTCAGCTCAGCTCAGTAGCCCACCCAGGGGAAACACGTGACTTGAACCCCCGTGCCTCCCAACCCCGACCTGTCTTCATGCTCAGTGGGTGCCGAATGGAAGGCAGCCTGTGCTTCCCGGCTAAGACCCAGGTCTGCTCAGACTCGGGACCAGGAAGCCTCGGGCCCCCAGTTAACTTGAACAGAGCTGCAGGGGCAGCTGCTGGAGGTGACAGAGGAAGGCAGCTCCTCTGAACATCTATGCAGCCTGCCTGCAAGGCAAGCTCATGGGTGTGGGATCAGTGCCAGCCTCCACGAGAACCCGCTCCCCAGGCCCCGCCAGGTCCCTACCTGCTTCAGCACCACTTCCGGGTCGTAGTTCATTACAGTGAAATGTTTCTCGTAGTCGTCCAGGTCGTTGAGTGCGAAGGGCCTGCAGGATGAGCAGGTGGACACTCACGTGGGTGCTGAGCACGGCCAGTCTGAGCAGGGGAGGTGCTCAGAGCCCCCAGCCCCACCATGGGCTAGCTGTGAAGACCCCCCAGGCCCGTGAACATCGCCGTGGCTCACAGATGCTGGCGCCTGTCCGACAAGGGGCGCTCACACCTTGTGGCGGCTGCTGCAGGCAGGGCGAGAGTCACTGCCTTTTAATAGAAATGGGCTTGGCGGGGCCCCCTGAGGGTGCCGGGTGGTGAGGGAGCCCCTGTGGAGGTGCTCAGGTCCCGAGTTACAGAGGGGCCGTCGCCCAGACCCCCACCCCACCCTGCCGTCTCCCCAGTTACCGGTTGGAGAACCGCAGCCAGAACACGTCGTATACAAACAACTGCAGGGGCTTCACCGACCGCAGGAGCACGATGTAGCGGACGTCGAACTTGACCCTCCCCACGTCTTCCCGAAAGAACAGGACGGGACTTTCAATGTATTTGGACACAACCTGCAGGACACAGACGCAGGCTCACCTCACCTGGGCCAGGACAGAGCACCCTGACCTCGCCAGCTGCGGGCTCTAGCCGCGCCACCCCCACAGCCTGGAGGATCAGGCCTGCTCCCGGGCCCCCTCCGTCTCAGTGCCATGGGGGTCCTGCTCCCTGCGCTCGCTTCCTCTGGTCTCTTCAAGCCCATGTCAACGCT